ACAGGGATATATTAAATCTGCATTTGTATTATTTCATGTTTAATTGTGTTTATTGTCATATCATGTTTGTGATATTTGTCACACAATTTGACCATTCCTTTTTTATTTAGTTCTTGAGTTAGAACTCCATTTAAAAACAATTTTATATGCCTCAAGACAGTTACCAAAAGTAGATCTGTATTAACTCAGTCGAATCTGGCGTGATTGAGAAAAGGTTGATTATATGGGATTTAACTATGATGCTTTTGTAAAAAGCATTCTCCTTTGAGAAGTTGTGACTACCATTGCTCCATCATATTGTTCTGTGTGGGTGTGTATATAATGTTTGTTATTGAATTCATTTCACACATTGTAATGTGCATCATTTTGCTAAACGCAATGGGATGGGTGGGCTGTGGATAGAGCTTATCTTAATACAGGGGCTATCTACATATTTATCCATTGCTTCCTAAACTGATAGTACACCCTCTGCCTTGAGGGCAGAAGCAACATAGTCATCTTTCATTTTCCCTTAGCACTTAGCAGAGTTTAACATAAACGATAGTGCTTAATACAACCAACTTCAGGGCTTAAACAAGAGATTTGGTTTGATTCCCTATGGCTGGTGGCGAGCACAAGAAGAGTATCAGAAGCCATTTCTTCTAGATTGCTTACCTTGTCCAAGTGTCCTTTTTTTTTTTTTCTTTTTGTCTTTTTTTTTTTCGTGACCGGCAACGGATCACAACCCTCAGTGTCGCGCCCGTATTGGACCGGGACCGGCAATGGGATCGCACCCCTCGGTGTCGCGCCCGCACCTCGCTCAGCCAGTGAGCGGCCGGTCTGTATGTGGGATCCGAACCCTCAGCCGGAGCGCCGCCCTGTAGCAGTGTGCGACCGGGCCGGCCCCCAAGTGTCCTTTTTTTTTTTTTCTTTTTGTCTTTTTTTTTTCGTGACCGGCAACGGAACACAACCCTCAGTGTCGCGCCCGTATTGGACCGGGACCGGCAATGGGATCGCACCCCTCGGTGTCGCGCCCGCACCTCGCTCAGCCAGTGAGCGGCCGGTCTGTATGTGGGATCCAAACCCTCAGCCGGAGCGCCGCCCTGTAGCAGTGTGCCACCGGGCCGGCCCCCAAGTGTCCTTTTTGTGGTAAAGTGGCAAACAGATCATTAGTCCTAATTCTGTTGGTGTTTTATGGTCAACTTGGGGAATCTATTAAATAATCTCCATAGGAAATGTTTATTAGGTAGTACAACATCATGCATTGGAACTGAATTTAAAACCTGTCCCCACAAAAGGGTAATAATTTACTCAGATGGTAATTAAAGCAAATAAAACAAATATTTAACTACAAAGATTGTCAAATTCTGTAGAATGTGCGAGTTGAAGGATAGATTAACGTGCGTGCTAATCCATGGCATAGTCTGTAAAATCTAGCCTTGTAGATTTAAGGGGATCCTAAATTGAGTCCTTTGAAAAACACTTTGTATTTTCAGAGTTAAAGAATTATGACATTTCTCAGGTGCATTTATTTAATGGGAGGAAATTCTTTTAGAAGAAGAATTCCAAAATATAAAGTGATATGTCCTAAGTTAAAAATTTTTCATTTTCCTGACAGGTGATATATAGGATAAAGATTTAATGAGAGGCTGGCCAGTTACTTAGTTGGTTAGAGTGCAGCTTTATAACCCCAAGGTCATGGGTTTGGGTACCCATACCAGCCAGCTGCACTCCCCCCCCCCCACGCCGCAAAAAAAGATTTACTGAGAAAACCTTGCTTAACAAGTGGATTGGCCATTGTGTTCCACAGGAGATACCCAGATGCTCCCCAGCCAGCCGCCCCCCCCCCCCCCGCCGCAAAAAAAGATTTACTGAGAAAACCTTGCTTAACAAGTGGATTGGCCATTGTGTTCCACAGGAGATACCCAGATGCTCTTGTTCTCAACAAACTAAGTGAGTCTATATCCTGAATGGTGAAATAATTATTCAGAGTGGGAAATGACACCTATATAGACCAAAGCAGAAAATGCTGTCAGGATCACAGAATATGAACATTTCACAAGGAACTAGACAGCACAGATGGCTGTAGGCAGCAGCTTTTTCACATAACCTGACAGATGGTTGATGAGTCTGGTTGATGAAAAGCAACTTGTAGAAAGTGACTGCCCAGAATCCCAGTGAGGAGACTTGGGGTCTGGTGTGGTCTCATCTCATCTCTTACCTCTTATCTGCCATGTGGATGTAACTTCTTTGGGCTTCAGTTTTCTGATCTATATCAAGAAAAGGTTGAAGTAATTGATGTCATAGATCTTCAGCTGTCAGTGCTATGATTTGTTGTTATTGGCAGTAGGGTTGGGATTTTAAAATTTGACATGCTGTGATTTTATTTTATTCCTACTCTATTTTTTATAAACCAAAAATTGGAGAAAATAGTTTTTCAGCCAAATACATTTTAGAAAAAAATTTAGCTCTGTTTTTGAGCATAGAATGTCATTAATAAATAAAATATTTAATGTTTTTATTTATTGACATCTTATTTATATATTGTATATTTTCTAAACACCTTAAATATTAATAAGTATTCATGTGATATGTTAAATATATTTTAAATGTTGATATAGAAAAATATTTGAAATTAACCACCTACTACAACAAATAGCAGGCTTTTGTATCAATTTTGGTAAGGAGACTTATTATACTAATTAATTTTTGTTGGTTTCTGTATTTTAAAAATTAACATCAAAGACATTTTGGCTTCTTGGAAAGAGATTTACTGCAATATAGATTAAGAACTAGATCGATAAATAAAAGGAATGTGCTATGTTATTTTACACCTCTTAGAAAACACAATTAAATGTGTAAGGTCCATCTACTTGCTGGAATAATTAAAATTTACTTGGAAATCATACAGAAATACAAGTCTGTGTAGAGTAACCTATCCCGTCTTCCCTAGAGAGTAGTTTGCTTTGGTCAGTAGTATATCTTCTGCAGTCATTGCTGCACATAAATATAATTTAGCAAAGGGCAATTGACTCCATTGAAATCACTTTTTCTTTTTTAAACTTAATCTTAGATGATTTTTTTTTTCCTTTTTGTCTTTTTTCGTGACCGGCAACGGGATCGCAACCCTCGGTGTCGCGCCCGCACCACCAGTGAGCGGCCGGTCTGTATGTGGGATCCGAACCCTCGGCAGGAGTGCCGCCACGCTCCCAAGGGGTGCACTGTAGCAGTGCGCCACCGGGCCGGGTGAGCGGCCGGTCTGTATGTGGGATCCGAACCCTCGGCAGGAGCGCCGCCACGCTCCCAAGGGGCGCACTGTAGCAGTGCGCCACCCGGCCGGCCCAATCTTAGATGATTTTGTTTTATTCTAGTAGCTGTTGCTTTTAATTAAAAATGAAAACCATCCCTCTAATAAACTATCATGTACTTAATAAGTGACTCCACTAAAGAAATAGAAAACTGAGGTTAAAATAAATTAAGAAAGGTAAAGGAAGGGGAAGAACTTCAGATGTAGACTCAGAAAATCACATATGCTTGGATCAGTTTGGCTGTGTCTGTTTGAAGTTGCACGCATCTCTGTGTGACCTCAACAACTGTGTTAACAGTAATGCTCAGGCCAGGGTTACAGCAAAGTGACACATTTTAAAGTTGTATTTTAAATGTTGAAATCGGGCTTACTAAAACCAAAATCAGATTTTGTTTCCTTAACCTCAACTTCTGTGTTTTTGCATTCAGACCTGAATGAGGCCAACTTTCATTACTGAAATTTTATTTCCAAGTGTGAGGGAAGCAGGAAGTCCTTGAATAAAGCTGCCTTCTTACAACTAGTGCTAGCGAACTAAGTTTTACACATGCATATTTACTGAGGAAAGTGACTTGTTGAAGTGCTTTTCAAAATTTTATTTGGTTCACCAGTAGGCTTATGTGAAAGAATCATCTTTTTTTTTGTTTGGTAGTTTTGGAACAGAAAATGAAATTTAAATGGGTTGCTTAGCTGAAAAATTTTAGACAAACTTGTCGATTCACTTTTTAACTCTGTCCTGCACCTTTGGGACTTTTGAAAGCTCTTAATTTTTTTTTTCTTATTAGTTCAGTTCAAGAAAGAAGGAATGCTATAGTTTATTTTGTGGAGCATTTCTGTCATTGACTCTATGAGAATGCAGTTGGCAACTTTTGAAATTTGCTTTTATTTCAGGCTCGGAGTTGCAGAGAAGACTTATCTGTGTTTCTGCTCTGAGGCAGTAATTTAAAGCTCATATGGAAGCTCTCAGTTTTGTCATCTCTTCCACATGTGCCATTTTAAATTGCCAGTTATATACTACTTGCAAGCTGTGATAAATCTCCGGAAAGGAGAATGAAGGCTTTGCAATGTAGGATCTATGGAATGAATCCTAACTTTGAAACATCCTAACCCTTTGAAATATCAGCATATTTCTCACTAAGTTTCGACTGCCGTACCAGGCAGGGTGAGGTGAGGGATCAGGTGGTGGAGGCATTTGCGTTCCTTTAAGGCTTCAGGGTCTAATATCACAGGCTGAAATCACAGTTGTTAATGTATGACCTTGCTGCCTAGGTTTAAACGCCAAGGCAAGGCAGTGGTTGAAAGGCGCAATTAGAGAGGGGTCAAATGGTTGGAGGTCTATTTAGAAGCTAAGTTTCACCCCCTCGCTCGTTTGTTGTAGATGTGGTCTGCATGCACATTGCCTCAGATCACTTTTGCAAATCTAGCTTGGCTTACTGATTAGGTCACTGAATCTCACATGTAGTCTGATTTATTATACGCTGTGACTAGGGTTGAGTTTCATTATCTGTGCGTATCTAGCCTGACAGGTGAAGACCAGGCCACAGACTGTGGTTCTCGCACAGAAATAGCTCTGTAGTGATGGGTTTGTTGGTGGTGGTTTTGACCTGCAATCCTCATTTAGGTGCAGATAAAGAATAATATCCATTTTTTTAAGTGTGCGTGCCTATAATAAGAAAGTAATCTATCATTTTATAGAACTTTCCCTTTTTATTTGTAGATATAATACTTTGCCAAGCAGAAGAACTCTGAAAAATTCAAGATTAGTGAGTAAGAAAGATGACGTACATGTCTGTATCATGTGTTTACGTGCCATCATGAATTATCAGGTATGTTTATGCTTCTGGTCTTTTAAAAAAAACCTAAATTTATCTGAGTCAGATCTGTTTTCTTTGGTTATTTCTATTTGAAGTAAATATCAGGATGTAATAAGATTCTGTTGAAAAAGTAAGGTTTCGTTCATTCTAATGGTCAAAATTTAATTCATTGCCCTCATATTTTAACCAACATTTATAATTTATAATGTATTTAAAGGAAAGGCATTTTCTTTCTATAGTGATAAACTTCGCTAGATTACTGGGTAAATGTTTGTAGCCATTAAAGACAGAGTAAATGGATGGCTATGGGCAATAATGGAGAAACTTTAAATACTACGAATGAGAAAGGAAAGGCATTTTCTTTCTATAGTGATAAACTTCGCTAGATTACTGGGTAAATGTTTGTGGCCATTAAAGACAGAGTAAATGGATGGCTATGGGCAATAATGGAGAAACTTTAAATACTACGAATGAGTAGACTGACACTTAGTTGGTCATTGTTCTCAAAGGATTAAATAGTGAAGAGGCAAGAAATTAGAATTATTGTCTGTGGGACTCAGTGATTCCTAATCTTTGTGAGAAGCACCCGGAGGATTCTTGTTAAAAGTGCAGGTTCCTTCTTCAGGTGATTGTGATGCAGGTGGACCCCTGCTCAGAATCACTGGGAGAAACAGTGCAGCATGTAGGTTGGGTAAATCCTAATAGCAAAGTGGAAGTTAGAGCCCAGAGGATCTAGGTGAACTGGCAGGATCATAAGTATAGTTGTGTAGGCAAACCAGGCATAAGAATTAGAACAAAAGAATTCAAATATAAAAATAGTATTTGATTTCTGTTGCTATGGATGCTACAGGTAGGCCCAAGTAGAAATGGAAAATCAATACATAAGTAGAAGGTTGATATTAGAGTTCATACCCAACATAAGGATGTGCAATTGAATTTAAGAAGGAAACATGCATTTATTCTTTCAGTCAAGTAATATTTTTTGAGCTTTGCTGGACCAACCCTGTTCTAGGCACTGAGAATACAGCATTGAATAGATACATATTCCAGGGCACTTATTGTCCAGGGAAGTGAGACAGATGACAAACAAACTGGTAAAATATATAGTGTTCCAGATATTAATGGTGATGGAATGAATTGAAAGCTAACACACAGTACATTTTACAGGTCTAGTGCTTTAAACCTATCAAGTCATGTGAACCCCATCACAGCCCTGTGAGATCAGTAATATTACTCTCCCCACTTTAATGATGAGGAAACTGAGACACAGAGAAGTTAAGTATTAGCCTAAAATCATATAGCTAATAAGTGGTAGAGTCAAGATTTGAACCCAGGAAGGCTTTGAACAGAGAACCATTACTATGTACTGTAGAAGAAATAATCGGGAAATAGGAAGTGCCAGAAATATATGTGCAGTTTTTTAAATAAGCCAGCGGGAAAGTGTCACTGAGAAGATAACATTTAGTAACAACTTGAATGAGAGAACAAGGGAAGGGATATTAGGGAAAGAAGATTCTAGGCAGAGAGAAGGGCAAGTGCAAAGGCACTTATTCCTGAGGCAGGAATAAGTCTGGTTTGCCCCCAGCACAGAAAGGAGACCAGGTTGGATGGATCAGAGTGAATAAGAGGGAGAAGAGGAGAAGATGAAGTCATAAGTAGCAGCGAGTCCTGGTTATGTAGGGCTGTAGAAGCCAGTGAAAGGACATTGGCTTTACTATGAGTGGAGAGCTATTGGATGGTTTTAAGGACATGATCTGACACTTGCATTTAACATGATCACTCTCTCGCTTCTGTGTTGAGGATTGACCTTGGGGGGCAAAGGCCAAAGGAGGTAGCCCATTTAGGAGGCAGTTGGCAGTAATGTAGGTGAGCACTGCTGGTGGTATGGACCGGGACTATAGGAGTAGAGATGATCAGATTCTGATTTTATTCTTTTGGTAAAGGCAACAGCATTGGATGTGTGAGGAGGGAGAAGGCGAGGAGTGGTGGATGGCCAGGGTGTTTGTCCCTGGGTACCTGTAAGATAGAGTCGCCATCTACTAAGACGGGGAAGCCTGCAAGATGGGCAGATTTGAAGGAGATGATTGAGAGTTCCATTTTGGGGGTCTTAGTTTTGAGATGTTCATTAGACATCCAAACAGTGATCTTAAGTGGGTGGTTGGATGTGCTAATCTGGATTTCAAGGCAGAGATCTGGGCTGGAGATTTAAATTTGGGACTAATTAGCATGAGTTGGTACACAAAGCCAGAGGGGTGAATGAGATCAATAGGGGCAGACATCTGTAAAAATGTCCAAAATATGAATCCTGGGGCATTCTGTTTAAATGTCAGAGAGAGGAGAGAAAACTAGTTAGAGAGCCAGGGATGTAGGAGCCAAGTGAAGGAAATGTTTCGAGAAGGGAGTGCTCAGTTCTGTCCAATGCTGCTGCTGAGTCATATAAGATGAGCAGTGAGAACTGGCCATTGGCTTTTGCTAAGTGTGGGCCATTGATGATCTGGGCAAGAACAGTTCCACTGGAGTGGTAGGGATGAAGTGCCTGACTGGAGTGGTTTCAAGAGTGCACAGGAGGAAAGAAATGAGAGACCGTGAGCATTTGGAGGAGTTTTGCTGTAAAGAATAGCAGAGAAATGAGAGGCAGTAGATGGGCACAGGTTGTGGTATCCAGAGAGGTTTTTGTCCTTGTTGTTATTTAAGATAAGAGAATTTGCATCATGTGTTTCTGCTCATGGTAATGAATCAGTAGAGGGAAAAATGGTGAGGATGGAGGAATTTCTGAGCATATGATGTTCTTGAGTAGGTGAGGCCTTAGATTGCAGCACAGAAGAGTTCATCTTTAGGAAGAGGTGGGGAGGTAACCATAGGCAGGTAACCACAGACCTATGTGGGTGAACTAATGAGAGAGTGGGAGTTTTTGGAAGTTTTTTTCTGATGCTTATATTTTCTCAGTGTAAGAGGAAATAAAGTCATGAGCTGAGAGAGTTTGGGTGAGAAAGAAGCATTCCTCAACTCAGCAGAATTAAGGATTCTTGAGCATATTATTGAAATTAATTCTTTGTGTAGAAGGGTGAGGTAACATTACTCAGAACAAGGCAGGTTT